GGAAAAACGCTTGTTTCATCGCCACCACTAGCTACCACTCCCCATAATCTCTGTTAAAAAAGTTTGAAAACTGTTTACAGGATTGATGAAAGTAATTTGTATTATAAAATTATTTAAATATTTTTAAAAAAATAATATAAAAATAAAATTAAAAAGAGCAGTGCTGGGGGCACTCGCGTCCGCACTCTCCGGCCAACACTCCTCCTTTCATTGGGCCACGTTATCTTAGTTCCGAAAGGGATCACACTTCATAGCTTAAACAGCCTTACGTGGCCCAATGAAAGGGGGAGTGTTGGCCGGAGAGTGCAGGAGGCGAGTGCCCCTAGTACTGCTCAATTAAAAATATTTAAGTAATTTCATAAACGGATTACAACAGCCTGTTTTATAAAATAGTTTTCTCCAAAATATATATAGGCTTTCTATGTGTCATCAATTAGAGAAGGTATTTTCATCTGGATCTCTGGTCGGCTACTTCCAATCTCTAGAGACTATTTTGGTTAGATGGTGTTTGCAAATGGAGGAGCTGAAGAGGATTCCTCTGAATTTTCACTTGCTTGATAATGCCCAATCATCTCATCCTCCTTCCCTCAAAGAAATTGTGGTATTCCCAAAATAATGGTGGGAATCATTGGGATGGGACCATCCCAATGCAAAAGACATCCTTTTACGTAGATTTCAGCAGTCTTGTTGTTCTTAGGGTGCCACCGCAAATGTAAGCCTTTTAATCTTCAATTTTCCATTTCTGATTCAACTCAATAGGTGTTTTCATCTTTATGCTTCCTTTTTCCATTCTTTCTATCTTAATGAATCTCTCTCTACACTGTCTTTTCTTTTCATTTTCTTCAACTTTTCTTTTCTTCTGTCTCATCTATTCTTTTCTCCTCAGTCGGCATAAATATTGGAATTCCACTCTGTTACCACAAGAAAGTCGGTGGGAAATCAGATTTGGACCTGTTGCTGTTACTATTGGGTTTTCAATTTAATATAATCTGTTTTTCTTTTGCTGTATCTATGTTGTGTGTTTAAATATGTTAAATTCTAAGCGAAAAAGTGGAAATGTTTGTTTCTTTATTACTTGTGTAATTTTGTCTTTGAAATTGTGTGCAAAAAAATACTAGAAATTAATTTCCTTTGGTATTTGTGGTATTTGTTATCCTGTACCCGCATCTTTGTTTTTCTTGTAATATGTATTATAGTTTCAACTTTGTCTTTGAAACTGTGTGCACAAAGGACTTGAAGGTACTTGGGATCTATCTAATTTCCTTCGCTATTTATTTTATGGCCCTGGCATCTTTGCTTTTCTTGTAATAAGCATTTCAATTGTTACTTTTATCAACTATATCTGCATGCTTGTTATTTTATCTTCTCATAATCACCGAAGATGGACGAGCATTGAAGTCGAGTACACTCATCTTCTTTTCCTTTCCCTTTCTCTTATTAATAAGGAAGTTGAAGAATATGAGCATGTTTTAATTTCTAATCCTTCTTCTGCAGATCTAGCCTTAAAACTTTCTTTTGCATGTGGTGGATTATTATTACCAAGATAGTCAAATTTGAGCGAAAAGGACCGATTAGATTCTGAACCTAATTCTGATTTGATTTCTTGTTGGATTATTGGTTATGTGAGTTATATTTTTACTTGGAGATATGTTTGTGAATTTGTGCTAATAGTTCTGTTATGGGGTTGCTGTGGTTTACCACCTTGTGGTATTGATACAGTATATGATGGAACACAATGGGAAACATTTACAAATCTATCTGATTTATGTAAGATCTCAAAAGCCTATCAGTTATGGGTATGTTTATGGCTTCTCGATGTTAAAGTCTATGGTTGTTCCAATGCTATTTAGTTTATATTTGCTAGTATAGTCATCCAGCTATAGCTTTGTTGCCTCGAGCTATTTAAACCTAGTCAATTTTAAATGATTTCAGCATTTTTTTAAAATGGTTATTAGATTTTTTAGAGTTTATATAAATGTTCCTTTAAACTGAGAGCTGGTCAACCTGTTGACAATTGCAGCAAGTTTTAGCTAAAGATTCTACATCAAAGAAGATAGAGAGAAAAAGGTTTTTTCCTTCTCTACTATTTAATGTATCATCTCTTCTACTCTTTAACATTGGAATAAAAAGAATACAAAATAGAAGAAAAATAAAACTTTACCTTTTGAATTTAGATGGAATTTCTACCTTCTTCCAACCTTTTTTGATAACTGACCTAATAGTTCTTATATGGAACTGTCTTGTGTAGAATACTAGTAACTTAACAGGCACTCCATGTTGCTGTGAATTTCAGCCTGAGCAGCTTGAAGAAGAAATTGGTGGTGCACTGCTTCTTATATAGAAAAATGAAGACTTTAGAGCTTCCTTGGCCTCTCTGCCTCTGCTTTTCCAACATTTTACTCCTATTCTGATATTCTCAGCACGCAAACAACACTCAGATCCAATTAGGCAATTACAATTCATCAGGTACCAATATGTTAACATATTTCCTAGTCTTATATATATTGTGCAGGTGGACGATGCATTGATGATTTCCGTTATCTAAACCAATGGTTTTTGACTTTAGACTTTTTCCCCATACATTTAACTCTCTATAAATTTAGTAACATAGGCATGAACATGATTGTATGCCTCAAATAGGATACAATTTGAAGTATAGCCCTTTTTAGGTTCACATTTAAAAATTTTAATTGTGGAACTGTGAATCATGCATTACTTATGTGCTGCCCACTGCCTACCTTAGGGTCTTTGGTAAATATTGAGATGATGGCAGAGGGAACCTTTAGAACTTTCTTTGTCCTTTTTTATGTTTTTGCTAATTGTTACTGTTTTGCCGTTCATTTTCAATCCTTGTTGCTCAACCTCTAATTTGCTCTTGAAGATGTCTACTATGGACGTGAAATGATTTCCCAGATTTCTAAAGGTGACTGCTTATTTGGTTACATTTAAATACTCTTGGTCATTGACTTGCTAATAGTGCTTAAAGGCTGTTATGCTGATGCAGTATTTTAATTATTTGTGGTATATGATGTAAAAACTTATGAGCTTTCTTTGTCCCCTTCTTAATTGTTCTGGTTTTGCCATTAATTTTCAGTCCTTGCATCCCTGCCTCTTATTTGACACATAGTTTCGATAATCTCCATGTGTGCCCTTAAAGATGTCTGCATTGGCCATGAACATATTGATTCGATTTCTGAAGGTGACTGCTTGGTTACATTTGAGGACTCTTGCTGTTTTTATTTTACCAATGCTTCTCTCTTTTTTTTTTTTTTTTGGGTTAAAATGTAAGGATTTGCTAATGGTGTTAGCTGCTGTTAATTTATTCTGATGCAGTTTTTCTTGTGGTATTGAGATATTATATGATGTTACACAGCGGGAAACATTTGGAAACCTATAAATATGCTGATTAGAAACAAAAAGGATCCTCTTGATTGACTTCCTTGAAGTTGGTTACTAGAATGGTGACTCTGAAACTAATATTGTCCTAATAGGTGTGGTACGTATATTTACTGAGACTAGAGATGTTTCACTGGGTTTTGCATGTTTATTGGCTATTTTGTTATGTCATGTGCATTTGAGTGTCAATTATTTTTTCCTCTTTCAGGTATGTGTCACAAATATGGAGGGTGCTTTCAAACAATTTGAGGAAGTTATGAAGCATGTGAAGAAAGAACGCTGGGAAAGAGCATACAAGATAAAGGACTGATCAATTGGGTGTGCTAAGTACAATGCTTGGATTTCTCGTTGCAGAAGTTGCACCAGTGGTTCTATGCTTGGATTTCTCGTTGCAGCTGTAAAATATATAATATATCCAAATCAAGCCCCAAGAAAGCAAGTAAAACCAATTGGTGGTCTTCACGTGATTCTAAAGTTCAGATTTTTACTCAACGATGATGTGCAAGATGGAGTGCTTGGGCAGCCTGGTTTGAATTTGTAAGCAAGGAAGGAACCTAAAGCCTTATCGACAGAAATTCCCTTTTTCTGCTCTTGCCATTTCGACATTATAGATTGTTGGATACATACACTAACTGAAAAGATGGGAACATTTTTATTTCTTGACCAAGAGTAGGAGTGTTGTGTTAGTCAATTGATGCTAAATAGTACTAATCTCTTTTCAACTTGTAAGATATGTAACATACATTTTTTTTTTTTACCACTCTCTTGAACCAGAAACGAGTTAGAAATGAAAAATCAAGAATTTAAATCCATGCTCCTATTTTTTACTTTATTACTATTTATTATATTATTCTTTCATTATTCCTTCTTATATAACTAATCATAAAATATTCTACTTATAGTTTCCTACAAATTAGCTCCTAGAACTACTGCCTTTTCCTGGGGTACTCATGCTCACCGGAAGGGATATGGTTGATTAGATCTGGCAACTAATAAACTGATGATTTTGTCACATGTTTCCTTCGATGAAACAAATTTTCCGTATCAACAAATTATACAGTAAACTCAACAACCCAATCCACCCACATTTCGGTCACCTTCCCATTTACTAGATAATTTTTTCTTCGGCACACCCATCAAAATTTTGCACCAATAAACACCATTAATGAACGAACCGGCCCAACAACATGACCAAGCCCGCCAGTAATTTCCACATCCAATCCATTCGTCTCATCATATCTAGAAGTGCATTTTGTGTTGACGGGTACCTATAATTGAAGGGAAAAACATCCAGTGTTCTGACGCGATTAAAGATGGCCATACAAATTTTATTTTTGGTCATATAATTATTTTAATCATACAAATAGCATGATCATAGATCATCATACAAATTTAGATTAGTACACATCAATCAAACTAAATTAGTGTAATTTAGAGGTGGGATCCCAAATTTGGCAAATACTACTCCTTTGTTTATTTTTAAAAGATTTAATTTGATTTTGTGCATCTTTAACTATTGCTATTGAATAGTGCTTTTTTCTCTCGCCGTCGCTAGGGTTTCCTCGCGACGGTCGAGCCCCTCGCTTAGGCGCTTCTCCCTGGTTTCCTGCAGGGCTTCTCCCCCCGCTTCTCTTTTTGTTCTTCCCATGGCTCATCCGCTTATGTTGCCTTGGACTTATTGCAATCTCGAAGAGGTTTATTTGATTTTTGAGTCCAATCAATCGAGCCTCCAACAAATGCCGAATCCCGCTTCG